CTCCGTATTTACTATACCCGCGGAGAAGAGTACGACGAAGAGTACGGCGAACCAACGGCGGCGACGACGTCGGCAGGGCGGAGGGGGGGTACAAAGCCGCATGGAAGGTAACCGCGGCTCCCCGCGCGCAACAATGAGCGCGCAACAGACGCGGACGAGACGCGCCGATATTATCTGCCTGTAGTTTCGGGCAGAGCGGCGAGAGCGTCGTAAATATATGCGTATGTGTGCGCGCGTGCATGCGTGTGCGTGTGTATATATATATATATATATTTGTACATGTATATTCGTGCGTAGTACACGGCGGTAATAACCGACGCCAGGATTAATGGAAACCCGAGAAGCGGCGGGGAGCAAAGTTCGAAATCCAATCGGTTTTGATATATTTCCGTGTCGTTGCGTGCGACGTGCGAACGAGCACCAGGAGAACGTGTACTCGGTAAGCGAGTTATTGCGAAATTACGCAAGCAAGCAAGCAAGCCCGCGCGTAACTCGCACGCGCGAAATAACGAAGAGTACGCGGATTAGTCGGGAAGGAATTGCGGCGACGCGAGACGACTCGGGCGCCGCGCTCGATCGGACAATTCGTACTTTCGTCGGAGGAACCGCCGCGCGAGGAATTATAAAATCCCTCCTCCTCCTAAATCTCGTCCTCTTCAGTGTGGTGTTTCCACTGAATTCCCCCGAGTTTTATATTTACACGAATACACCTGGATCTCTCTCTCTCTCTCTCTCTCTCGGTTTATACGAGACGCTGTAATTTTCGTCTCGGCGAAAGGAGCCATTTCAGATGACGAGGGCTAAATTATGTGGAGTTTTCGCTTTTGCAACTTAAAAACGTTGGAGAAAGGCGACGCGCCGGGAGGGACGAGGGCGGCGACGGCGGCGGCGAGGGGGAGGGAGGGGGCACTTGAGCGCGGCAAGCATCGGGCGCGTTCTCACCCCCGGTTGCGCTATTGGGACCGCGATCATTTTCTCGAGCTCTCCTCCGCGATCGATATATATATGTAGGGCGACCACTAGGTATTGTTTTTTCACTGATCGCGATTAGAATCGCGAGATTGCTTTATATATATCACGGGTAACACCTCGGCCGGATCGACAATTCCATTTTCTTCGATCCGCAATCAATCTATTGTCTTCCCCTATGCAGCTCCCGGCCGCGCCGTTCACTTTTTTGTCCAACTTGCCCCGCGCAAACACGCGCGAGGTTCGAAAATGAGATCGCTCTGTCGTGAAAATATCCAGCCAAAGGAGCGAAAGAAAGGAGAAAAGCAGGGGGAAAAAGCCGCGCGGCAAAACGCGACGGGATCTACGTAAATAAGTACGACGAAGGTGCGGAGCTGATTAATTGACAACTTGAAACGAGGAGTATTGCCGCCACGGCCTCTGCCTCTCCCTCTTTGCCTCTCTCTCTGCCGCAATCTCCCCGTCTCGCGAGAGGTCAACGCCTGTCGATATCGGCCCAGGATAAAAACGGGCGACGGTGCGCGAGGGAGGAGAGAGAGAGAAAGAAAGAGAGAGAGAGAGAGAGAGAGAGGGTGCCAAGTCGAAAATATATACGTCATTCGGTAGCCGGCTGGTCGGTCGAAGTCTTCGAATTGCCCGAGAGTCGCTGATCAGGCATCGGTCCAAAAATCGGCCGCGTCGCGGCGACGCCGACGCCAACGCCGAGGACGACGTCGTCGTCGTCGCGACACTCCGCAGCGCACGCCGTGCAACGGGATGCGATCGCTCGCGTCATGGCGAGATATTGAGGGGTCGCGCGGCACACAGACGCGGCGTCCCGACGACAAAATTTCGCGCCGATCAATATTTATCGCTCCTTCCGCGCGAAGCCGCTGCGCTTGAGTGACAAATGTTTAAATGCAAGATACAGCGCGGATCGTATAGTCCGCGCCGCAGCGATTCCAATCTCCGCTCGCAAGATGAAAATCTTGGAAGAGATTGAAAACGTCGGAGGGAGGTAGAGCGGAGGAAAAGGAGAAGCGGCGAGAGGGAGGGAGAGAGAAAGAGGGAGAGAGAGAGGTGATGCACGTTCTTTCGTTCGTTCGTTCGTCCGTCCGCAATCGAATGTTAGGCGATTGTCTTTCGCCGGGCGAGAGAAACAGAACGTGACCAACACACTATTCTCGTCCTCGTCACAAGACAACTCGAGCCTAAGTATAGGAGGTCGGGTGCCTGCCTCTCCGTTTAAAAATACGTCACACCTCTCGCACCCTCCCCGACAACCTAGCGACGGTCTCCCTCTCTCTCTCTCTCTCTCTCTCTCTCTGGCTGTCTCTCCCTCCCTCCCTCCCTCCCTCTTTCTCTCCTCTGTCGGGCGCACGGGTCCGAGAAGTAGCTGCTGCCACTCTCGTTTCCTCCTCTCCCTCCTGCCCCTCTTCGTCGACCCCCTCTTCTTCTACAGCGTCTTTTTTCGCGCGTTTTCCTTCTCGCACGCATCCGGAGAAAGGGAGAGAGAGATACAACGTCGATCAGCGACGTTCAATGATTCACGACGAAAGAGTATTTTGGAGTGACGATCAATAGCGGTAGTTTCCCGACAGAAAGGGAGAAAGAGCGCCGATCGCGTCGCGCGCGGCCGAGTAGAACTCGCGAGGATCTCGGACTTGGTTCTCACGCCGCCGGGTAGCGGCCACGGGGCCGCGCTGCTTCGCGGATTCTCTCTCGGCGGTCACGGATATCAGAAAGCGAACCGAGGCGCGACGGCAGACGAGCGTCGCGAATGACGCGCGGAAAACAGAGCGAAAAGCTCGCGTCGACGGCGACGGCGAGGAAGCGACGTTAATCAGCGCCGACGTGAGAGAGAGAGAGAGCGCGCGCGCGGCTTGTCGGAATGCGAGATCGTCGCCCGTACACCGGCAACGACAAAAGAACGATCGGGGATCGACAAAGTCGGCGGTGACCTTCGCTCGGCGAAGACACTGCGCGTCGAGAGTCCGCCGCCGAGCGAACTGCTTCGCGCCTTGGCGCGATAATTCGCGTCGTTGAGCGAGCCGCGGCGCGAACGCCGAGCCAATTCGCCGGCTCATTACAGCAACTGCATAGTTTGCCCGATCCGACGGATTTTGCGCGAGCAAAGTCATCTAGCATCCAATCTTTTTTTCTCTCAAAAGGATATACGATAGCTACCCTCTCCTTTCGCCGATCTCGCGGAACTGGCGCGGCTTCCATCCCGTGGACGAAAAACAGGGGGAAAAAAGACGACGCGACGACGCTTGGTCGAGGAGCCAAATTTCTGGCCCCCTCCGCCAGGCCGCGTGCTATCCGCTTAACAATCGCTCATCATGGCGATACCGCGACGAACCCTCGGCCGCCACCGTCGCCGCCGCGCCGACGGGAATCGGCACCGTTCCACCTGCGATCGTTCGGCCATTATTTTCGGACACGCCTGGGCGCATCGAATTTATGCACGCGCACGCACACGTGTGTGTGCGTGCGTGCGTGAGTGCGTGCCTGCGTGCGTACACATCCCCCCCCCGCACGTAGCCGGAACTCTCCTCCGGGCCGCAACTTAACGGCTACTTGTTACAACTAGGCGGGACGCGCGGACGCGCAACCCGACTTATTATCGCGATAATTAACAATTTCCCGAATCATCAGACCGCGAATGCAGTTGCTTTTTGCATGGAGATCGAGCGCACCGCCGCGCCGCGGCCAGCGAGGATCAACCGCCGCGCTTCCTTTGACCTGCGGGGACTCCGTCCGTTTTGAGTCGATTCTTTCTTTTATCGAGGTTTCAATGGAACATTATCTTTATTACCCACCGCGCGACTTTTGCGCGATTCTCCCTCCCCTTCCCTTCCACGTCGACCTTCACGGTGACCGAGGTTGAAATTGCGATTTCGTTCCGGCTCGAACGAAGATCCCGCCCGCAAGGTCCCACGCGCAGGAACCTCCGTCCGTAGGAACGGTAGGAATCCTTCGTTCAATTAACAACTGCGCGCGCGAAGCTCCTCCGATGTCGAGCGATGTCGATTGCTCGTGACCGACGCGTCGATCGGATCGAGAGCTCGCAGATCGAAGGAAACATATCCAGGTCGGTCCGAGACGTTCCGAGATATCCGAGAGGGAGCTTTTCGATGCTTTTCCCTCTTCCCTCACCCTCGCCGGCGCAGCCCTCCCCCGGCTGCCATCGCGCGCGACCAGCGCGGCGAAGGCGAGCGGGCAGACGGGCGCACGCGATTAATCGAAACGGAAGATAATGGACGATCGATCACTGTGCCACTTGGTAATCTTACGTGAAACGCCGCCGGATCAAAGGGTTACTCGCGTCCCGTCGATTACGAGCGCGTCCGGGATTCCCGGCCGCGCGGACTCGCGGACGTCCGCGACGTCGCGCGAACAATCTTGCGATCGCTTCCCCGAGCGCGAGGAGGAGCCTCGGTGGAGGGTTGTGCTCCCCTCCTCCCTTCTTCCCGTGCCCATCCTGTCCTAATTTCCTTCGCGATCAGTACGTCCGCGTAACAACGCCGTGTCTCGGCGTCTTTCGGTCGCTCGGGATGGAGAGCGCAATTCTCCGATTAACATAATAATTGCCAGGCGGAAAGAAAGATTTCCCCTTGGTGTGCCGCTGAATGTCCCGTTGCGCGGCAAGAACAGCAGCGAGCGAACGGAGAACTCGCGGCGCGCGGGAACCGCGGGACTCCCGCAGGTGGTTTCTAATCGGCCGCTTGTTCGCGGGTGATCTCACGCGGGTTTTAACACCGCGCCGAATGTTGAGACGAACTTGCTCGGGCGTGCTAACGGAGTTTTACCGTTTCTCGTGAAACAGTCTCGCTGGCCCGCTCCCTGTTCGGTCACGCGAGCTGACCAGTCAGTTTCTTCGCGTATTGTTCCGAGAGCGAGTCTCTCGGCGCTCGGATTCTCCCCTACATCCGCCGGCTCTCCCCCCCCTCCGCCTAGCGGACCCTACGACCGATAATCTCCCCGAAGATAACCTCGCCGCAGCATCAGTCGACGAAAGAGTAGGAAAATGAGTCAGTGCGTTTACTCAC